GAATATTTTAAAAATAATTATTTTATTTGGCTTTATTTATTTACTTATTTTTTAATTTGACCAGAGAGAGACAGAGTGAGAGATAGAGGGAAAGTGAGAAACCAAGCTGCCAGGTTCAGGACTCAAACCATGGTCGGCCATGTGGGATTCCAGCGCTCCTAACCACCACAGCATCTGCTGACCCCACCAAGAATAGAATTTAATAAAATTATAATTTTAATACTAGAGAATAAATGTGAGAGAGAGAGAGAAAGCACCCCGGTGTGGTCATGCTGCAATCCTTTTCCTCCATTTCTCATCTTGTTAGGATTTTGGACATGCATGCCCATGCAGTTGGCATGCTTTTCAAGCTGCCACAGGGTATGCCTATGTTCAGCTTTCATGTCGATAGATATTGCTAGATAGTTTCCCGAGGTGGCTGTCCCAATGTACACTTCCGCCAGAAGGGAATGAAAGATAAGAGTTCTAGTTGTTCTACATCTTTGCCAACGCTTGGTATTTTTTGTTTTTGTTTTTTAGTTTTCTATAGGGCATGTGTGCTTGCTGGAGAGAAAGAAAGAGAGAAAAACAGGCAGAGATAGAGAAAGAGAAAGAGAAAGAAAGAAATCACCTCGTTAGGGCTGGCCATGAAGCAATCCCTTCTCTGTTTTCCTTTCAGGATTTTGGGCATGCACACACACAGGCCTGGCATGTGTATTAAGCCACAGGTTCAGGACTTGAACCATGTAGTTGACCATGTGTATCCAGTTACTTCAACTGTCATGCCACCAGCTGAGCCCACTTGGTATTTTTCATCTTTTTAATTTTAGCTGTTCTGGTGGATGCTTTAATTTTGTTTTGTTTTGTTTGTTTGCTATAGAGCATGTGTGCTTGCTGGGGAATGGGGGGCAGGGAGAAAAAGAACCCACCCTATAGGAGGCTGGCTACACTGCAGTCCTTTTTTCCCATTCTCTTCTCAGAATTTTGGACACACACACACACACACAGGCCCAGTGTTTTTTAAGCTGTTGGGTCTAGGACTGGAACCACGTAGTTGGCCACGTGGAATCTAGCCACCTTAACCAGCACACCACTAGCTGGGGCCACCTGGTATTTTTCACGCTTTTTTTTTTTTTTTTTTAAGTTTTTTTTTTTCTTTTTTTAAACAAGTTTTTGCTTTAGGGTGCATAGGATTGCTGGAGAGAAACAGACACAGTGAGAGGGAAAATGAAAAATCATCCCCACAGAGGGGAATGGCCATGTTGCCATCCCTTCTCCTCCATTCTCATCTTAGCATCTTGGGCATGCATGCATATGTGCCTAGTATAGTTTTCAAGCCTCCAGGTCTGGGACTTGAACTGTGGTCAGCCATGTGGGAGTCCTGTGATGTAACTACTATGCCATCTACTGGCCCTATGATTTTTCATCTTTTTTATTTTAGCTATTCCACCAGAATAAATTACTTTTTTTTCTTTATCTGTGATAACCCAGATGGCCACTTTGTTTTTGCTCTCTGTTCAGATTTTAAAATTGATACACTGGGTCCAGCAGATGGCGTAGCAGATATGCTGTTGGGCTCCCACATGACTGACTGTGGTTTGAGTCCCAGACCCAGTGGCTTGGAACTCCCGCCGGGTGTGTATGCATGTGTGTCCAAGATCCTGGGAGGAGAATGGAGAAGAAAGGACTGCGGCATGGCCATCCCCCTGGGGAGTGATTTCTCAGTTTCCCTCTCACTGTCTCTGTCTCTCTCTTTCTGGTGAGTGTATGTGCCCTAAGACAAAAGCCTCAATCAAAAAACAAATTCTTATATACTTTTAATCACAACAACTGTCAGAACTTTGAAAACATAAGCCTTTTTTTTTTTTTAAGTTTGCTATAGAGTGCATGTGGTCATTGGAGAGAGAGAGACAGAGGGAGAAATCACCCCCTCACCCCAGGAGGGATGGCCATGGTGCAATCCCTTGTTCTCCATCCTCCTCTACGGACTCTGGGCGCACACGCACACGTATCCAGCTTGTCCTTCAAGTGGCTGGGTCTCGGACCCTCGTCACGCAGTGGCTATTGGGATATAGACGCCTCAACCACCACGCCATTGACTGGCCCACTAGGGTTATTTCTTAACCTGTAACATTTCTTACACAATCATGCACATGAAGGGAACTGAAAGGCCGTTTTCCAGACATTGGCATTTCTGTGAAATATTTGGTCTTCAGACTACTCTGGATACTCAACAATTTCATTCTGCTCTGTGGTTTTAGTACCCTACCAGCACAGCATTTTGTCTTTACTAAAGAAATACAAATTGGAATTACCTAGCTTCTTATATTACAGTCTTGATACTTTTCCAAGGGTGATTCCCTTTATAGTAAAATGGTTGTTTTGTGTCTTAAAAAGTAGCATTTAGGGAACCAGCAGTTAGCGTAATGGCTATGTCGCTGGACTCCCACGTAGTCGACCGCAGTTCGTGTCCCGGACCCGGTGGCTTAAAACTCATGCCGGGCGCGTGTGCGTGCGTTCCCAAGATCCCGAGAGGAGAATGGAGGAGAAGGGATTGTGGTGTGACCATCCCCCCTGGGGGGTGATTTCTCGCTTTCTGTCTCTATGTCTCTCTCTGTCTGTCTGGCGAGCGCACGCGCCCTATAGCGAAAATCTCTCCAAAAAAAAAAAAAGTAGCATTTAGAAACATTTCAAAGCAGTATGTGCTTGACATAGAATAGCTTAATGTATGGTTCACAATGATGCAAATCACCTGCTTTGAAAAATTAATTGAGAAGCATGCCTTTTTAAAAACTATTTAGTTATCTATTTTTATGCTAGAGGGTATGTGTGCTTGCCAAAAAGTGGCAGAGAGGGAGAGGGGAAAGCACCCCCCATGGGGAATGGCCATGCTGCAGTCTCTTCCTTCTCTTTAGGATTTTGGGCGTGCATGCACATGTGCCTGCTGCATTTCTCAACTGTCAGATCTGGGACTTGAACCATGTGGTCAGCCACGTGGGATCTGGTTGCCTTAACCATCAGGCTACAGAGCTGGCCTGAGAAACATGTTGATGTAGCAGAAAGAATGATATTTTGGATTCCAAAATGTGGCTGTGAATTTTGACTCTGAACGTACTTCTGAGTTGTACGTTCAACCAGTCTTTTAGCTTCTCCCAGTTTCATTTTTTATTTTCATGTAAAATGAGGATAGTAATGCATAATGCTTGGCAGATTCAAAATAATGTATAAAATTACTTGGTCCTGGCCAGTCTTGTAGCGCAGTGGTGAAGCCCTGCACAGAGGAAGCTGGATCCCACTTGATCAGCTGTGGTTGATGTGCGATTGTGTGCCCGGATGCTGATGGGGTAGGGAATTGGAGAGGAAATGTGCTGCAGCATGACCGAGCCCCGTTACGAAGATCTTTGCGTCTCTCTCTTTCATGTAGCACCTTCTGGCACGAAAAAAATAAAAAAAAATTAAGATTAAAGATTAAATTGGTCCCGAAAAATTACTCAATAAACAGTAGTCATTACTATTTATTAGAGTTGTTGAAGAGAGATCACTGTTAGTTTTTGGAGATAACTTTTCATTGCCTTCAAGATTGCCCAACTTGTCCAAATATCTAATTATTTTTTTAATAAAGAATTATTTTATTAATCTTTATTTATTTATTTATTTTAATTTGACCAGAGAGGGAGAGGGAGAGAGAGAGAGAGAGAGAGAGAGAGAGAGAAAGTGAGAAAGCAAGCCACTAGG